TTTGTCAGACAGTGAAAGTGTATGAATAAGCGGATACGTACTGCTCAGTCATAACTTCTGGTTACTGCGTGTAACATTGGACAAAGATTTGATTCTTGTTATCTATTGATTGACTTGTAATGTTAAGACAAAATTTTATTTTCTTCCTTGACTTTCCCAACTGATAATACAAATAATTGATATTTTAATCAATGACATAGTATTAAAAAGTATCCAACGACTTTTTTTCATTTCAAGATAAATTACGAGAAAATCAAAACTTTTTGCTCAAATTTTCATTTTCTCGTAACTTGTTTATTAAATGTCATTGTTTCGTTATTATTCTTTTGAGCAATTTCATAACAATAGATGAAAATAATCCTTTGTGATAATTCAATTTTTATTTTAAAAAAATTGTCATAAACTTATTTTGCATAGTTATTCTTCTCATCTTTTATTTTCTTAAGTTCGACCTGACTTTCAATCTAAAAAATTTTATGGTAAATTAGTTAGACGATGGTTAAAGTTTCTACATACGCCTCAATCTATCAGTATGTTCTTCAGAAATATTGACAGAAGAAATAAAAACTAATTTAATAAATTTCTTATAATTTAGATGAACATGTGAATGTTTTTGACCAGGATCTTTGCCAATTAATTGAACAATTAAAAAAACTTGTCTATCTTGATATTCATGGTTGTATTCCTTATGATAAAATTGAACCTTACCGTTTAAGAGTTCAAATTCGTTTTCCAAATAGTCGAATTCATATTTCTGCATCAAGATTTCGTCTTTGGATATAATTATTATTTGTTATATGATATGACATTACAATTCATTCGAAATAACAATCACTCTACTACTTTTCTTTAATAACTAATTCATCAAGATCTTTTTGTTTTTGTTATTATTCGTTGTTTGTCTCAAAAACTTAATAATAATAAAATAATATTCATATTAAATATGTAAGAAATTCTTTTTACAATACAAATGTCACATTCAAAGTATAATGTCTATAATGATCAATCATATTAAGAAAAGAAATATCACTAATTATGTTTTTCGAAGCAGTCGTATTATCATACTATATTGTACAATTCAATCATCTTGAATATAATCAATACGGAAGATCGCTTACTGATATAGAAAAATTTATCATGATTCTGCGAGAATATATCTACCAAATGTCAATACCAGAATTAAATTGGATCATAGACAACAAAACCCTTAGGCTTAGGACGCTTAAAGATTATGAGTTTATGTTTTGTTTGCAAGCATTCTTTGAATCAGAATAGTCTTGCATTTTCCTGAATGGTACATTCATTCAGACGTTAGATAGCCAATATATACCACTGTATGTTTTTTGAACATATTGATCTATTACTAGCAGTGACTCGTCCATAGAAAAGAATCGCCAACTCATTCAATTCATCTGTAGCACCAGTATGTTTTTTGTCGATGATAAAAGTTTTTCTCCACTTCAGGTTTATAAAACGCTTTGGCATTATAAATGGACAGAAATCCTTTGACGGACAAAATGTATACTACAGAGCTTCACGTGAGATGGAACAGTCCTGTCCCATTTCATCTCATGCAGTGTAATTCTTTTAAAAGATGTCTCATGAGATGGAATGGAACGGAAAGTTTTTGTGGATCGTTCCATCCTATGGGACAAACAGATTTCATAAAAAGTTATTTTTTGTTTTTTCTAAGAACAACACAACTGTTTTGATTTAGATGTTGTACTCGTCTGTTCAAGTAAAACAAATGAGAAATAAAAACTTTGCAAGCGCTAAAGTACTGCAATCATGACGAAGCTATATAACAACAAAAATAATGAACCAACAAATAGATTAAGGATATAATATGATCTATTGTAATAGTAATGTTTAGCTTATAACTGATAAAATGTCTGTGAATAATTCGTATTTTATTGTTGAAAGTTAATCTTATCAATGTAGTTCAATAATTTTGATTTGACTTTCTTCTTCTATCATTATATCATAGGAATCTACAAAATGACTTGTCTTTGATCCCAATTCTGGTTCAATCTCATATAGGTTCTGTTCCTGATTTTATTTTCTAAACATAAAAGCATTTTATCAAGATTAAGCCTAAATTTTTAGATTCAAGTTCGTATTCTCATTTAGTAATAAAGTTATTTCTTTTTTTCTTAATGTATACAAAAGTACAATATTAAGACTATTCACTTCATACTAGAAATAGGTGAAGAACGACTTACAATCAAAAAAATGATTGAATTGCTATTGAACCGAATTCATCCATATGGTATACCAATTCATCTATTCAAAAGCCTAAACAAAGCTTCAAAAAATTTCGATTCTTGAAATCAGAATCGATATATGTCGAAGACTTATCAGAATTGCAAATAAAAATGAACGATTTATGTATTCTCTTAATCACAACAAAATAATAAACATGAAAACGTATAGTCTAACTCGTGATAAAAAAAAAAAGATTAAGACCAAATTAAAAAGGTGTAAGTTCTGGTCTCGGTTCGGGTGGGACTACGATCATTTTTCAGATCTCTATTACATCATTCTCATCTTCTACCAATGATTTTGCATTAGTTGTTTATGAGTTTACAGCTGAACAAATCAATCGCTGATTGAAAAACGACTTGTCGAAGTATAGAGTTATGAAAAAATGCAAAAAGTATTTAACTTTCTTCTTATTGGCAGGTTTTCACTTTTTCTCTCAAGAAATCAGAAACTAAAGAAAAACTAGAACTAATTTCAAAATTTACTAGCCGTAAATCATGTTTTGAAGGATGTGAAGTTGATGTATCTACCAGTCAATTGATAAAGGTTTGAATAAATTTTACCTCTTTTAAAAAGTATTTGAGAATTGGGATGTTTCCAATACAATGTGAGATGAAAAATTTTCAGAGTCCATCCCATTTCACGTGAAGCCCTCTTTTCAAATTTGAAACACACGTTTTCTTATGCAACTCGACACGTTATATACAATTATCAAGAAAAAAAGAAAGAATAAATTCTGCTGAATTATCACTTGTGCACAATCTACACATATTGCAAATACCTTAAAATTTGAATATTTTGCTTGATGGATGCCATCATCAGCTCATATTTTGAAATTTTTTGTTGGGTAGTAAGACATTTAATTTCGTCAGAATGTATATAATTATATTCACTGACATCAAAAAGACTTCCATTGTTAATCATTTTATTTGGATACCGTTGAAATAGAAATTTATTATCTTATGAAGTCGATCAGACCAATACTCATCAAACTAATCATTCTCGTGTCGGTTCCAAATCTGTTAGCAAATTTTTTCAAACATAAAGAAGAATTTCGAGCTTTATATTCACTAATTTATTTGCACGATTTAGTAGAAAGATAGACTTTTCTTTTTGTTGAAGATGACAGTTGAAATTGGATAGACTTTTTTCGACCATCTCTAATGAAAATTGATTTCTATGACATTCATCAATATGATACACTGTTCATATTGTTAAGATTGAATAAAAATCTTGATGTACTATATAAATTGTTATGAGAATTAACTATTAGAATTCTTATTTTGTTTGTCTATTAACGAACTAAGATTGAAAATAGATAAGAAAAAAATGAACAAATGATTAAACGTTTTCAATCTGCTTATGATTTCGTTCGTGTTTAATCACTAGAAAAATAAATTTGCTTTGAAAAATTCCATATTTTGTTGTATGATGTTTATTTAAAAGATCTCATTTATAGATCGTATTTATATTGAAAAAAAGCGAATTTTAGTTATGTTTTCTATTAATAATTCATTTTCGAATAAAACTGTTTGATTATAATTAGTATAATAATTAATTAAAATAGGTGATGTGATGTGATAGAAATGGATGATTTGAAATCGATTTGTAAAACGATTAGTGAATATTGAAGATGATAATTAACCAATAAATTTGTTAGAATTTTATCTCCTTAGTGTTTTCTATTTAAGATGGTTAATATATTTATGCATTTAAATAATCGATTGGAAAAGTAAAACAAACGAATTGAGCTTTGTTTTGTTTAATATTTGTTTATTGTTAAATGTGAATTTTCATTTGTTTACAGATTAAAAAAAAAATTCGTTTAGAAATTGATTTATTTTGAAATAAAAATAAAATTGTTTGTTAAATTGAATGAATTGATATTCGTTGTTTATTAAAATTGATTTAATTTAGTTTGCTATATATGTCTGATATTAGTTGTGATCGTGAAAAGTCTTTCTCAATATCAAAATCTTCAACAATCAATAAACGACAAAATAGTAAAGATGATTATGAAAAATCTCGTCGTAAAAGACCAAATTTAAATACATCAAATGATCATTCAAATAATCAACGAACGTAAATTTTCTTTCGAATTTTTTTTTTT